AGAAATCATGGACTAAATATAGACATTGGATTTATGGCACATTATAAGCCTGCCTACCATCTGATACCCAAGTACATTTTATGATAACATTACCAGCTACATTTTATCACCAGGTCACCATTTTCCTTTTCATGTGCCCCCTACCTGTTTCTCACCTATTGTCTCTCACCCCTTCTGACCCTTACTGCCACACGTTTGCATTTTCACTAACCTGCATTTTTGCATACTAGCGTATCTGATCCAGGGAGAGCACAAAAGAATTGCAGATGCCCCCTCTGCCTGAAGAAAGGTGTGTGTACCTGAAAGTTTTTGGAAAGAAGAATTTTTCCAACTATTTTAGTTGGTCTAATACAAGATATCAGATTTATCCAAAGAACCTTGTCTGCCTGTGTCTTTAGACCAACACGTCTACAACCAACACCAGAGATATAGTCTAACTTCAATTAGAGTGGTCTTGCCAGACCCAAGTTAACTTCTGTACAATTCCCAGCGCAGCCCCAGGGCTGGGAAAGCCCAGATGCTTGCCCTAGTCCTGGGGCTGTACTTTTTCTACCCACTCCCTTGCACAAGGCTATTTTTAGCCCTTCAGCCCCTCTCCCTCACCCCCAGATGGACAACCCCCTCCATGGACCAGTTAGCCCCTCCCAGTCCACTAAACCCCCATCCCACAAGCTGCTCCTGGTGATGGGTTTATCAGTGTTTGCTGATGCTGGGAGCTGAGGAAGTAAGTCATGGTGAGGGGGAGGGTTGGATGGGATCAGGGGTGTTGATTTGCTGGGGAGTTATTTTTCTTGGGGTGGAGGGGTTGTGGGCTAAAAATACCCCTTCATCCCAGGAGATGGGGAGAGAGTCCTTCTATGCCCACAAGCCTCTGATCCTGCCAAACCCTCCTGGACCCCATCAAACCCCTCACAGATCTCACCTTCCCCTACCCTCCCCAAACTCCCTGGATCTCCCAATTTCCCCTTCCCCCCTGGAGCCTGTTGGCCTCTCAAGTCCCCCCTTCACTAGCCCCCTGTGAATTAGTTGTTGTCTTATCCATATCTTTGGGTCCAAAGTGCAGCCCACCTCCTTATATTCACCTGCCACACCTTGATGGTGTGAATCATTCTTTCTTAGGGACCATCCCAATAAACAGTCTTACCCTGAAGTAAAGTCCAAATCTTAGTGCCAAGGAGCACCATCCTCTATACTAGTTTCCTTTTGTTGGCTTAGTGGAGTCTCCTCACCCCATGTCCTTCAGCCCATCACGGTTCTGTAATAGTTTTCCATCCTCAGACACTCAGCTCAGTGGTTCCAACTGCCTCACTGCTATGACTATTCCCGTGCCTCCGCACAGGTCTGCACCACTCCTGTCTAGGAGATGATGCTTCTACTCCCCCCTCCAGGAAAGAGCAAGTCCTTGCTCACCTGCCCTTAGAGAGATTGGCTTTTGGTGTTGCCTGATCACCTTCAGTTCCCTTCATCATGTACCACTGTAGCCAGGAGATCCCCAATCTCAGCCCTCCAGCTGCTTCTGGGTTTACTCCCAGTTATCCATCATGATCCCTGGGAGCAGCCAGGAGTCTCTCCCCACAAAAAAAAAAAAAAAAAAGGGTTCCTTGCCACCCTCAAGGCCCTCCACCAGCACTGACAGGAAGTACTACACCACAGCTTGCTCACAGTAAGCCCTCAAGCCAGGCCAAGCACCCATTCAAGTCTCAGACTTGGGGCACAGTGCACATGGCTATCGCCATCATCAGGCAATAACAGGAACTGAGAAATGACTCCTTGTTACACCCCTCTATCCTGACTCACCTTAGATCATATAGGTAGTCAATATTGCATTTGTTATGCTATCTAACCTCCCTCTAAATTCCCCAGATGTCTGTACCCAGCCTAAGTGTGAGACTCAACATTCCACTTGAGAGTCAAAGGAATGGGATTCCAGTTGTGCTCAACCTGTCCAACCTTTCAGGCCACGTGAGTGGCACAGAGTTGGTCCACAAGCTGTTTCCTACATATTGGCTTGCAGCTCTGCAAGATGTAGCAATAAGCACTGCCATTCCTGACCTCACTGACAATTTCTGTTCTTGTAGGGAGCCTTGTGGACCAAATGAACATGGGCCCACGGGCTGGATCTGGCCCAAGAGGCACATAGGTTGAGCACCACTAGATGAGACAAATTCCTCAGAATCCTAATACTAATGATGTGAAAGTTAAAGACATGAAGCAATTAACTTATTAAGTATATTAAATTGTAGGATGGGATAATTTCTAATCTTTTTCAGTCCCTTGGACACAGATTGTACCTGACCTTAATGCAGGAATTAAAATAGGGAAGACTCCATAGGTTCTTCCTGCTCTTTAACCAGCTGCAACCTTATATTTAATATTAAGTTAAGAAAGTTTAGAGCTCATTTATACCCCAGTCACTGAATTATTTTTCATCTTGTGGTACAAAAAGCTGATAATATCTGCTTTGCTCAGATGTTTTATTACTCATTTAATGTTTTGAATATAGTATACTGGCAGTAACATTAATGTGAAGCTGAGTTTGTGCTGTGATATTGAGATGCTGTTTTTGGAAAAGTACTATCTTGGCCTCATCTCAGAATTTCTCCATTAGCAATAGACCATTTCTGGAGCACACTCACATTCTGTAAATGTTCTCACTTAAACAGGGCATTACAACTGTAATATATAATACTGGCAGAGAAGCCATAAAAGTACAGAACTTCAGTGCTGTTACAAGTATATGTTGTAAATAGGAAGGAAAAACTGAGCCAAAACCATTTGACATCTGTTCAATGTATTCCAGATATACCTTGATAAAGATTATCTTAAATAGAATAAAAATCCCAGTAGTTTCCAAACAATGGGACCTGTTTCTGGTTTGCAGTTTTGCAGATGGTTGTAAACTAGCATAGCTGTGGAGGGAGTTCCTGTACATTAATAGCTTAGGAGACATTTTGCATATTGTAGTTCATTATGAATTTATGGTAGCCTTGAAAAAAGTCAGTGGAGTTCTGCAGAGGTGCACAAACATTTTTCTATAATGTTTTCATAAAAAAAAAAAAGAGTATATCATTCTAAATATTTTTAAAAGGTATTAGGATACTGTTTTTACTTTAAGTTTATAATATCTGGCACACCTAGTGCATCCAAAAGTGGATGTAATGTAACTGCCATAGCAAGGTGCTGGGTTCTTGTCAATAAAACCTCTCTTTGATGATATAAACTTGGTGTTTGTGTTGAAATAGAATCATACCTCATTCCTTGAATGTTTCTGTCAAAACTCAGACAGTTTTTTGGGCCTATGATTTACATGATAGTCCTGCTTAAGGCCAAATGAATACAGATATGTTAAATCAGTTACTAAATAACCACCCAAAATGAAATTCTCTCAATGTATTAAAAGTATTAGAAAAGCCACCAGCCATTTTTAAATTTAAGTATCAGAACTATAAACTAAACTGTAAACAGAAAATGTAGTGCTGTTATTAAAGGAGCTAACTCTGTTCCTACTAGGAAAAAAATACTAAAGCGTAGCATGTATATTTCTGAAGGAACTGGGTGCATCTTGGAAGTTCTCACATCTGTGACTCCCATTCAGCATTCTTCAGTTCTAAAGTCTCAAGATTGTCTAGATTTTTGGGGAAAAAAAGTGTAGCAAGAAGTGCAAGTTGAACTGTTCAATAATTTCTTGAAAATGAACAAGTTAATATACCATGTTAGTGCTGATGTCATTGGATAAATATTTGTAATAGTGTCTCTAGCTTGATCAAATGAGATCAGATAATAATTGAAAAGCAAATTACAATAATAATAGGATATTGTTAGGTAGAAGTCACCAGGATTTTTCAAATAGAACAGGTTCTTACTGGAAATTGATGATAACCATCTCTGCTCCATGAACAGACTGAGCTAAGGAGCACTTCACTGAGACATGAAATGCCTGATATGTGTGTGCTGTATCCAAAAAATGGATGTAATGTAATGGCCTTAGTGTAGTGTTGGGCTTTTACCAAGAAGTGCTCCCTCTGATGGTATTAACTTCTTGTTTGTGTCAAAAATCAAGATGTTTGATTGAAACATCTCTCTTTGTAATGCATGTTTCTGTCAAAAATGCAGCCTGAACTTGTAGGGCTGCCTGGCAATCACAGTCCCTATCTGTGGGCTTCCCTAAGTCCAGATATTTGCCAGGTTTCCAGGCTCACATCTACAGGGTAGCCCAGGGAGCCCCAACTCTAACTAGGGCTTGACTCCCAGTTGAGCAGCTGGAAGTCTCACAGCCCTGAGCATCCCAGCTCCACCCAGGACTCTCTCAGGTCTTTCAGGCTCCCTACTCTGGAAAGGCTCACTAAGCTCATTGCCAAAGAACAGGAAGCAATGTGAATCCTAACTCTATCTGTAGGGAACCCAAGCCTCTTATCAGCCATAAGAAGTAGACAGGATTTGTAGATTCCCTATGCATAGTAATAAAACTGAGCAAAGGTGATTATTAGGTTGCTGGATTTCCAGATCCATTCAAGTTAGAAAAGTTTTAACATTAAATAGTGACCATTCCTAGAGAGACTGTACGTGTGCCCTTCTGCAAGAAATTTGAAAATCTATTTTTCCTTTCTATGGAACAAGAAAAATAATGACTATCAATTAACTGTTACTGTTTCCATCTCATTCTTCTAAAGGATCCATTAAGGCCTAAGCAGTGGCTCAGTCATTGCAAAGCAAAAAAGCATGCTGACCTTGTTTCATTTTGTGAAACATGATTCCAAATAATATAGTCTGAAACTGTGCGATTCCCTTAAATGCATTAAGGACTCAATTGTTGCAAAAGTAGCCAATCCGCATCCTAAAGTTAACTGTGCCAAAAGTTTCTTCTCTGCTGCTCTGTACTTGAGTGATAACACAACTTTTGTTTTGTTTTCTGAAAGATGTTTTGATCTGCCATCATTTAAAATTTAAATTGCATTTTTTCAGCTTCATTTTCTAGTAATACTTTTTATGTCTCCTTTCAGATTAAAGAGTCAGCAAAAAGTGAGCTCAGGATTTGGGATCAAACAAAGTTCCTTATATGTTGCCGGGGACTCCACTGAGACAATGAGTGAAGATGAGGGGGACCAGCATGCTTCATAAAACAGCCCTGCAGTGACAAATATAACTCTAATGAAGAACAGAAGAAAGCTAGTAGTGTTAGAGGAAGAGGACAGCTCTGAAAAATGTGTCATTTTTGTACAAAGTAGTCCTATATATATTATTCTACATATGCAAATTATTACTAAGGCTTGATGGAAAAGTGCTTGTTTCAGTATGTACCCAATCTGAATTTGAGTTTTCAGTTGTAGGTTCATTCTCAAGGGTCTTTAGTGCTGTCACTTGAAGTAAAAATGTTGCTTACTTGTGACAGCTCTCTAGTTTATCCTCCAGAGCAGTTGACTTCAGAACCACATAAAGTGGAAGCCAGCTTGTTTCAATTAGCTGTGATCCAAGGGACAGAGCAATGGACTGAGATTCAAGAGACTCAGGGTCTCTTGTCTGCTGTGCTGCCAAAATTGCATATAACCTTGGACAAGTCATTTTGCCTCAACTTGTCCCACTATAAAACAGAGACACACCATGCCTTTGGAAAGGATTTTCAGGGGCATACAATAAAAACCTTATAAAAGTTAAAAATTATTGTTTAAAACACTGCACTTTCCTGTTTATCTTGCTCTTTCCCCTACCCCATGCTCACTGTCACAGTGCAGGGTCTTAGGGGTAGCCATGATCTCCCCTAGCACCCCCTACCATGCCAAGTTAGTCTCAAAGCACCCTCATTCTCACCCGCCACATCTTGATCTTATATATAAATAAAAATGGAGGCTGCCTCTCATCTTGGACACGGTTCTACTACTGTGCATTACCCCTGTTGCACTAATGGGTATTCCTGCGCTCCAGCCTTATGGGCCATGCATATCTCCAACCACCCCAAGCCTCACTGATACCCCAGAGGTTGTTCAGCCTGTCTGGCTCTCTGGGGCCTCCTCACACTGCCCCTTTTGCTCTGGGGCCACCACAGCCTTGGGGCTCAGGTGGCCATAGCCATGCCTGGCCCCAACTCTCCTCCTCAGGGTCTCAACCCCCCCACTGGGCTCAGGCATCCTCAGCCTTACCTGACCTCCAATTCTCCACTCCCCTTCTCAAGGCTGGCATCAGTGCACCTCCAAATGCTGCAACCTCTCTGGCACCAGGGTCCCCCTATGAAGCCTCCTCCAACCCCTAAAAGCCTCACCCAAACCACTGGTAGTATAGACAGTAAACCATCAACACAAATTCAAGCCCCTTAGCTGCAACATAAATTCAAGCCACTCAGCTATAACGTTAGTCCTGACACATCAGGGATGCTCTATCCTTCCTTCAGTCTTGAAGCTGTACCTGCAGTCTCACCTCTCCTCTTCATCCAGTCCAACAGAGCTCCTTCCTCTACAACTGCTAGCAGGGAACTGCCTCTCTGGCCTCAGCCTGGGTTTAAATGGGAGCCAGGCCCTGCCCCTTCCAGTCAGCTGGCTCACCGGTTTCCCTGGCAACCTGCAGCTCTGCTTCTTTATTACTACTGTGGCTGCCCTGGTAACCAGCAGCTGGGCTCCTTACTTGCTGGGCTCCTTACTGAGGTGCCTGCTACACACACAAACAGCAAGTCTCAGCTTTATAAAGTCTGCCCCCTGCTTTTCTTTCAATCTCTGTTTTATTAACTGCAAATGTAAAAATATTTACATTATGTTTCAGTAGCACCTGAAGTAACTCCATGCCTGTTAGTGCTATCTCAAAAGGGCAGGTTTTTTCTGAAGTCTGAAATACTATTTTCATTTAAAATAAATAATAATGTAAGACAAGCAGCTGTCTAGGGGTCATTAACAAGGAAAATATAGCTTCTCTGGCATAGAGCATCTACAGATGTAATCCAGCAGTTTGGCAGCTCAGCATTAGGATGTGATATATGTTGTCCATATGAGCTGCAAACTCCCAAGAGGAATTCCTAATTTCCTAGTGAACGCCACAATTTTTGCTATCCCTTTCAGGTTACAAGCATACTGGATGGTCTACCCACCCAGTGAGTAATCTCTTGGGCCACTTATTATTTCCTTTGCAGTAGCTTATAGTGATCCTCCTTGGTTGTAGGGACACCTGCACCACCCCCCAACTGCTGCCTTTAGTGCAATGGTCAGATAGCCTACTTCCCTTTCCTAGGTGTACATCACTTCTATACACATCCTTCTCCTTTGGGGTACAGAAGCACTCTGAGACAAATAATTTTAAATACCATTTTATTTTAGAATTTATGGGAATTACCATTCCTAGGATGCTTGGGATAGTAATTTTGTATTTCTGTCCACTCTTTTTCCCTCCTCCTCATTTTGTTCCTATCCTTGCAAAGCTGACCGTAGTCAGACTTCACAGTTTCTTAGAACTTTCTGAATGTTGATCCTCAGCAGAATATCCTGTTCCTCCTCATTTTTTAGTTTGCAAGCCACAGGAGGAAGGAAGGGAACCATGTCAGGTAAAATTATTATTTCCTTATTATGCACACAGATATATTGTATTAGATAATGATTGTGTTATAAAAAAAACCGTTTTATAATATTAAATATTTTGTCAGTGTGAATTAGCTTCAAAGCTATTCCACACAGTTCAATTTTTTCTATACTTAATGGTCTCCCTAGTGCAATTTTGAGGCAATGTAGATATTTCAGGTCTCCTTAAAAAGCCAGCAGCTGCTCACTCAGCATTTTCATATCTGCCTAAGTGAATTCATCACTCCCCAATGTATAATTTAGTCATATTGAAAATGTCAGTGTTCATGGTATAAATGAAGTGTATGATTATTGATTTTCAAACACTTTAAAAGTGCATCTCTACAATTGCATTAAAGTACTTAGAAATACAGTATAGTCATACAGTATGCTTAGTGATAACATGTGGTATTCCTTACACTTTTGAAAGTATGTTTTCCCTGAACAGGCATAAAATAAAGAGTTCTTTTTACAGTTAGAGTCCTTGAGACCTGAGAGCTGGGCAAAATCCTTAGTTTTAGAATCAAAGTTCATTAAGTTACTATAGCATCCCTTATTAAAATATGAAGCCAAAGCAACTGACAGTGTTCCTGAAGAGCCAAGGCTCTGTGTTTTCCCCAATAGGTAAGAGGTACAGCACAAAAAAACAAGAGTTAATTAGTCTTCTCAGTCTTGAAAAGCACTTGATTTTGTGATAATAACTAGCATAGTATTAATGGGCACGTATAACAAAGTCAGCATTCCTTCTAAAACTCAATGTACCAATTTACTTAGTTTTAATCTATGCTTCTGATGTTTGCCACTTACCACATATGTTACAGGTGGTATTTAAAGTGATGTGTCACAGTGGGACAATCTAGTTGTAGAAAGTACAATTCTTAAATAATCCCCAATTAGAATAGGTAAATACCTCACAGTGCAAGCACACTTAGGTAGCATCTTTCCCCGCACATGGGATATTCATGAGAAAATTATAATTTCTTCAGATGTAGCCACTGTTCATATCTTTTCAATGCTTTTTAAAGTGATATAGTGGAAATTGTATTCAACTTCCAAATGCCAAATAATATTGGTTTGAAAATTATGTGGCTTGATTGGAATGGGTTGGGTAGATCACATGTTGGTTTTTTTTTTATCCTGCCTCAATAATTACTACTTAGCTACTTCCATGAGGTGCAATCATACATACAAATATAAAATCTTATTTCAGCAATTTTGTATATACATAAGATAAGTTTGAAATCTTTTGTTGTAAAAGATCATTCCAGTAAGTCAGTTGCCCAAGTGTGGGCCACAAGAGAACAGAATCATGTTAATTTAAATTTTCAGAAAATAGCTTTATATATATGGCCTTCGTAATCGTGAAGGTATGACATTCTTTACTTATGCAGCCACAATAATGTTTCCACTGATGATCCACAAGTACATGTGTAGCAGCAAGGAATGTTTGAAGCCATCACTGCCATACATGATAACTCTGTGGTCTATACATGCCCTGAGTCTAAGTTTAGTGCCCTAATAACTTAACTTAAATTCCTCTATCTCATTAAAGTATTGGAAGTACACGCTTTGCTTTACTAAATGCAACATTTTGGAACGTGAGTCTTCCATGAAACCATTATAGCAAAAGACCTATAAATGATTGTTTCTGCAGCAGCTTTTCTGCATTGAACAGGTGAAAAGCAGCGTTTTTTGTAAATGAATCAGTCATATAAATTGATTTTTATACACAATAACTGGAAATCTTACAAGTAATTTCCACGACTGATTCTGTTCTTATAGACTCAGTCTTAAGGATCTACTCTGGTGATATGGATATTATTACATGAATGTACAGAGCTCTAAAATGTCAGAAAAGTAAATAACCTGACATTTTGGATTAGTTATTAAAAGAGTTTGAATGAAACTTTGCTGTCCCTCCAGTCCCAAATAAAAAGCAAGAATAGAGGTAAATATCTTCTGATTAAATTTGCCCTGGTTTATATATGTTTTGCTTTCTTTGAAATATCTTTCTAGCTTTACCTGCATTGATTAAATAAACAATGCTCTGAAATAAATACCAAAATGATTGAACAAAATAAGATTATCCCATTTTGCACCCGATGGAAAAATGGAGTATATGGATGGAATTGGTTATCCAAGAGCAGCACAAAATTTGCAGCTCCAAAAGAAGCAATGAATATTGTGTCTTTAAGCAAACTTTGTGCCCTTCCCATCTTAAAACCCACATTCTCTTTGAGGGGTCTTTTAACCTAGGGACAGACTTTCAAAAAGCCTGAGCCTAAATTGATTTGGCCTTTTCAGGTTAGTCTGGCCTGGCCAGGTTGAAGTGGTTTGTAACTGGACAGACATTCTCTCTAGACTGAGGAAATTCAAGCACATGACTTCAGTGGCTCAGGCTAGAAGCTGGGGTACACTAGAGCAACCCGCTCTTTCCGTACACAGTGCTGAGGTCAGGAGTGGCATGGCCAGGCCGCAGCAGAGTGTTCTGATTAGGGAGGTCTGCCTGCACCATCCAAGGCTTTTCCCTGCTCATTGCTCAAGGGGCGAGAGTGTTGCCAGACCCCAGCTCCCAGCTAACAGTCTGAGATGGGGAGGGGGGTGTGCAGTGCATGCATTTGCTGATGATAGGAAGCTTTTCAATCTCCCTCCCTGCTTCTTTATATTGTCTACAGCACACTGACAGCCAAGCGAGCCAGCAGGGGGCTGATAAATAGTGTTTATCAACCCATCAACAAA